ATATATACCTTCATATGCGGGCTTGAGGCCACATGGGTGTAAGCAGTTTTCCGGGTCTGGGATGGTTGAAAGTTAGGCGTGCCAGAACCGGAACCCCAAACCCTAAACCCAGATCCGGAGGTAGAACAGGAAGGATCTAAGAATCTAAGGCAAAGTGCCTCGTCATTCACAGCACGAGCCCCTTCCCCAGTCTTTAGTGCCATCGCCGCGGATAATGTAGGGGGCTTACTAATTAGAATAGGGTTCCTTTGAAGGGATCCTTAAAGGGTTCTATACGGGATCTATGATAGGTTCTATGCTCCATTCTACTATAAATATAATAAGGAAAACCCCAAAATAGTATTCGTAGCTATTTAGGCCCCTATATTACCCTAAAGCCTTCGTTGGTACTAGCCCTTCTGAGTACAAGGTAAGTACTTGTGGGTGTGTATACCTAGTTGTTTGTTGGAGCCCCTACCATAGAACCCTATCGTAGATCCCTTAGACAACCCTTTAAGGATCCCTTATAGAGCCCTTATAATAGCCCTTATAGTAACCCTTTAAAGGAACCCTATTCATGGATGGACGGCCTTTTGAGGACCAGGGAACTCAGTGTTTAGGGTTTAAGGGTTTAGGGTTTAGGGTTTAGGGATTAGGGTAGGGGACTCAGCAACGGTTATTGGATTTACAGCAGTGACTCATCCTTGACCCTTGTGCAGCCCAGGTGAATGAATCCTTGATCAACGTGACGTTGAAAGCCGCACTGCAGCAAAGACATTCGGGAGTGAACCCTATTTGAATCATTAAGGCCCCTACATTACTTTAAGCAGCTTTTAGCATCAGCTTCCCTAAACCCTAAACCTAAACGGCACAGCAAGTAGGTTTAGATTACGGTCATAACTGTCTTTTTTGCTTGGGAACCTAACCCTGACTCTGCTGGTACCGTGTCCCCCCTCAACCCTACGCCCTAAAGCCTACAACCCCGCATGATCGGTGTCCTGGTCCGTTTCGAATCTCCTAAACCCCAAACCCTAAATCAACCCTAAAGCCAAGACCCTAAATTAACCCCAAACCTTAAACCCTAAACCCGAAACCCTAAAATTAGCCCTAAACCGTAAACCGAAAGCCCTAAATTAACCCTAAGCCCTAAACCCCGAAACCCTAAATTAACCCTAAGCCGTCCTAGCAGGCCGAAATCCCCACACCCTGGGGAGTTGAGGCATTCAGCTTCTGAGTTCCCCAATACCCAACCTTTAAACTTTGTGTCTTCGGGTAACAACTGACTCGAAAATCCTAGAATCCAGTCCTAAAGCCAACATGAACTTGTTTCAACGCCCTTTGCGGGGACCCGAGTCCACAGATCTGCCTGCAAACTAGCGGCAGTATACTAGGGCGTAGGGTTTAGGGTGGAGGATTTAGGGTTCAGGGTTTTGGGGTTTAGGGTTTAGGGTTTTAGGGCTTAGGGTTTAGGGTTGGGCACTGAAGAGACTCTGAAATCGGCCGACCCTGAAGCCTTCAACCCAAACGCCCACACCTTAAGCACTAAACCTTAAACCCTTAACGCCATTTCTTCTTATATGCAGTTAACATGTGTATATATATATATACACATGTATATGTATATGTCTGTTTATACATACGTATATTACATGTATATAATACCATGCATGTGTTTACTACATGTGTCAACTATATGTATATATCGATAGATGTATTCGCGGTGGCCAAGTAGGACCCGAAGCGAAGGTTGTTTCCATCAACGCAACCAGCAATGCCACGGAGGGTGAGAACTCGATGCTCGGCTGGGCTTTGCTGGCTTAAGTTTTGGGGTTCAGGGTTTTAGGCTTTACGGCTTTAGGGCTTTAGGTTAAGGGCGGAAGTCTACCTCAAATAACCACCGTTTTGGGGAGTTCCTTGTTATGATTTCCTTCTTTCAAGTCCTTACACAGGCAGTTCCCTAAACCCCAAAACCCAAAACCTCTAAACCCAAAACCCCAAAACCCTAAACCCCAAACCCCAAAACCCTAAACCCTAAACCCCAAAGCACCCCAAAACTGTAAACCCTAAACCCTCCAGGGAGTTCAGGGGCTAGAGATGGGGGAGCTGAGTTCAGGACCTGGGGGTTCGGGTTTTGCTTTGGGCGGGTTTAGAGTTTAGGGTTTAAGTTTTAGGGTTTAAGATTTAGGGTTTAAGGTTTAAGGTTTAGGGTTTAGGGTTTAAGGTTGAGGGTTCATAAAAGGGGTCTAAACAAATACCCTGAACTTTTTTAGGGGTTCCCCGTCTACTTATGGTATAGCATAGCCCAAAGCCCCAATCGAATTAAGTAAGGCCCCTACATTGGGGGCATTGCAGGGTGTACGAAGGAGTTAGAGTGGGCTTGTTTTGAAGGGTACATACTTTTAGTACCCCCTTCTAGTCCTATTTGGTTTTACTAGTGTATGCCCCGAAGCCTTATTCCTATGGTTCGGGCCTCTACATTAAAACCCTATACACGGCCCGTTCATGGAACTCTGAAAATCCTTTCAGGGCCCTCGTCTACTTGTTGCGGCCTTCGTGTTTAGCTACAGAGCCCTAAACCCTAAACCCTAAACCCTAAACCCTAAACCCCAAACCCCTAAACCCCTAAACCCTTAAACCCCTAAACCCTAAACCCTAAACCGTTCTAGCCTCATAGAGCCCCTTAGCGGAGCCTTCTTCCAAGGCCCCCAGACTCCCAACCCTTCAACCCTAAAGCCTAAACCCTGAAATCCTAAGCCCTAAAGCCTGAAATCCTGAAACCCTAAAGCATGAAATCCCTTAAACCCTAAACCCGGAAATCCTGAAATCCTAAAGCCTAAACCCTGAAACCCTTAAAGCCTAAACCCCTTAACCTGTGAACCCACAAGCCGGCTTTAGTCCAGCTTCCAGAAGTGGGGGTTTCCGAAAATAGGGGACCCCAACATAGTACCCTTAATAGTAGGATGAGTAGGATCCTTATATAAGGAACCCCAAAACCCTAAACCCAAAACCCTAAACCCTAAACCCTAAACCCTAAACCCTAAACCCTTATCTTCGGAAACTCCCAAGTGTCCGAGGACCGGCGAGAGGCGCTTGAGCTTCCTTGAGCAGCTCGGGGAAACAGAAAGGGGTTTAGGGTTTTAGGGTTTAGGGTTTAGGGGTTCAGTGTTTGGGGTTTAGGGTTTTGGGGTTTAGGGTTTAGGGGTTTCGGGTTTAGGGCCCCAGAGAGCCCAATACGCCTCTGAAATATGGAATATCGCTTAAATCGTAATCTGAACCTCTTATGCTTTAGGCTATATTCCCTATTTAAGGTGTATTGGGCTCTGTGGGTAAGGCTCTTGCTCAAGCACTACTTAGATTAGGGTTCCGGTTAAAGGGTCCCTTGAAAGGATTACTATAAGAGTTCTATGATATGATTAAGGGCCGAATAATTAGAATAGGATTTCGGTGTATATTATGCTATAATTATAAGAAGGAACCCCGAAATAGTATTTGGTAACTGCTTAGGCCGCTATATCACGCACTTTGGAATAAGGGCTTTAGTGTGTCGTACACTCTCTGGGTTTGGTGTGTAAGGCATAAAGATCAAAGAATGCTCCGTAAGCCTTACACGAGAGTGGTATGGGGGAAGTATCCTCAACCTTTACTAATGTACCGAAACATACCATTGATCTAGGACATTTTCAGGTGGGTAGTTGCCGATACAGAAGCCTTGTAGAAGCTCTATATACCTTATAGAAGCCTTATAGAAGCCCTATATACCTTAAACTCCCCACCTGTAGTTTCCGTTAACTTGATATTGAACCGGGGTCGGAGTGTTCGCCATGCGGTCTAGATGTAGGCAGGATGGAGCCGAGTTGTGAGTTGTGATCCTAAGCCAGGAATCCTCAACAAATTCCATGGATTATCATAGGCGGTACGTTGGTTTTAGGTTCTAGATCAGTACCCTAAACCCTAAACCCTAAACCCCCTACAGCAACCCCCAGAAAGTTGGAAACCGGATGAAGGTCAAATAGTGCTGGGATTCCCTATACGTTAGTCAAGAGGTTCTAGATCACTGTGCACGAGGGATTTCTCGAGTCCAGGGACCACTCGCTGCTTGTCTTCCCAGGACTGGGTGGCACTTTGACAGATTGGGTTTCATGCTGCCTCTCGATCCCCTAAACCCAAGTTTAGGGTTTAGGGGTTTCGGGGTTTAGGGTTTACGGTCCCGAAACGTGGCAAGCCTTGCAGAGCTGTCAAAAAAAGCTGCGAAGAAGCGGCATGGAAGCGATGACTGCGACGTCGGAGGGGGCGTTGTCTGATGATCTGGCGCAGGCCCTGAACCCTAAGCCCGAAACCAATCAAAGAAATACCTTAACTGAAAGGGTGTCGTTCATATGGGGGTTTCCGAAAATAGGGGACCCTAATATAGTACCCTAAATAACAGGATCCTTATTATAAAGGCCCCAAAATATGGTACCCCTAATTTTCGGAAACTCCCATATTTGCTTTAAGGTATCTTCTACCGGAGGCAGAACCCTTACACCCAACTTCCGACATCACACGGGGCTGCACCCATGAATGTATTCAAGCCCGCACTTATCTCGTTGTCGATTCGTTGTCCAGCACCTCAGCCTAAAAGCCTGAAAGCGAGAACTTGCTGTGTTCTTTAGGGTTCTCACTGGTATCTTGTATATAATAATGTTTACTATCATAGAACGTTATTAGGAGTAATGTGTTTATGATGGTCGAAGGTGGCTTGGGTGTTGTAGGGTAGCAATGTAAGCCTCAAACACAAATCGGGCTTTACCAAAGCAGCGTAGGTCTCATTGTCGAGACTGTATAACTGTCAATGCTATCCCTTGGGTTCCGTGATATAGCCATACTAAAAGTCGAATGAGTGAGGCCCCCGGAACACCCTTCATAGAAGCCGAAAAATTCCGTTTTCAAGCCGCGCTATTCTGATGATTCAGGCCCTTCTAGTATGGTAAATCCGACTCTTGCCCAGGCAGACAGTGATCTTCCAGGCGCGGCGGTTGGCCATGCTGGTCGTCAGAGCTACTTTGCCGCACATGGTCTGAGGTTTGTAGGGTCTAGGGGGCCCTGAACAGGGATTCGGGCTCCCTGTACCCTAAACTCTAAACCCCGAAACCCTAGACCCTAAACGGCCCTGAAGCCAAAGCCGCACAGCCCGCGTTTCTGGCTGTTGGCACAAGAACATCACTTTGAGTAGCTATCGCGGGTCAGGGTTAAGATATCATCTCTGTTAGCGATGTTTTTTGGGGGATCGAAAAGGGTCTAGTTTAGGGCACAACGTGCTTCGGTATCTGCGGATGATGTTTCGATACTTTTCTGGGCATGTAATCTGTAATGAAAACTAAATCCTTCACGGGTGCTGCCACCGAAGGTAGCAGAGCGAGACTAGAAGACAGTATCAATATGTCAATCGCTGCTTTCGTCTTGCAGAAGTCTACCTCGAAACCAAGAAATCAAACACCACCCTGCTTCTCCATGCACCAGTGCGTTGGAACAGATCTGTAGACCCTAAACCCTAAACCCAATACCCTAAACGTTAAACTCAATACCCTAAACCCCAAACCCAATACCCTAAACCCTAAACTCTAAACCCAACACCCCATACCCTGAAACCCTAAAGCCAATACCCTAAACCCTAACACCCTCCAAGCCCGGAGTTGACGTTCTACTCTAAATGGGAGTTTCCGAAAATTAGGGTACCTTATTTTGGGGTCCTTATAATGGAGTCCTACTATCTAGGGTACTATATTAGGGTCCCCTATTTTCCGAAACCCCTAAATGCCCTGTTCCCCCGAATCCTTGGTTGAAGATTCCAGCTCACAGTTCAAAAGTCCGAAACCTCATAGCTTAGGGTTTAGGGTTTAGGGTTTAGGGTTCAGGGTTTAGGGTTTAGGGTTGAGGGTACAAGCACCGCCGAAGAACCCTTAGTATAGAGTTTAGGGCTTAGGGTTTACATGGGTTTAGGGTTAGGGTAGAAGCACCTCCAAAGAACCCTTAGTATATTTAGGGTTTAGGGTACAAGCACCGCCGAAGAACCCTTAGTATAGAGTTTGGGGCTTAGGGTTTTAGATGGGTTTAGGGTTTAGCATTTAGGGTACAAGCACCTCCACAGAACCGTTAGTATAGAGTTTGGGGGTTTAGGGTACAAGCACCTCCAAACAAGCCTTAGTATAGAGTCTAGGGTTTAGGGTTTAAGGTACAAGCACCGCCGCAGAACCCCCTTAGTATAGAGGCCACAAGACAAAGAATAGGATTCTGGTGGTAGATTACGGTATGTAAGTGTAAGGGGCTCTCTGATGTAAGTGTCTAAGTTTACAAACCATTCAGACGTACATTAAGCCTTTAGCCCAGGTCTTATTCACGATCCTCGAAGAAGTTGAATCTGAAGGCGTGTAGGGTTTAGGGCTTTGGGGTCTTAGGGTTTAGGGGCTTATGGCTTTCCTGCTTGTTAGGGTTTAGGGTTTAGGGGTTTAGGGTTTAGGGCTTCGGGGTCTTAGGGTTTAGGGGTTGAGGGATTTCCGGCTGGCTGCTTCTTCAATTTCAAAGTAAAGTGTTCACAGGGTTCAGGGCGCTGTCAGTGTAGTTCTTCTTGCGAAAGCCAATGACCCTGAAGGGCTCCGGAGGCCAAAAAGGGTTTAGGGTTTAGGGCAAGCCCCGCAGCAAAAACCGTGCAATGAAGTCTTCAGACGAAACCCAACAGTCAAAAGACCAAGAGCAACAGCAACTGCAACAAACGACATCGCTGCCACAACCAAGCATACATGTTTAGCCCAAGGCAGAAGCGTAAGAACAGCAGCAACAACCACCACCAGCATCACAAAAACGACAGAAGACAGCGCACTCTTAGCAGAAGTCGCGTGGACACATTCATCTCGTTCAGGGCCTTGGAGAATCTGCGGTCTGTAGAGAGGAAGTCTATCGCGAGCCCACTTGCAGCACATAGTAAACCGAACCACCAGTGTTGTTCGTACAATCCGTTGCCGCTGGGCAAGTAAGTGAGAATTTTTTTGTAATGCTAGGAGAATATGTTTTTGGGAATATTGAGTCTGCTCAGATCGATGAGTGCTGCCCCTTGGGAAATACCGAGAAGGCCTTCTTCAGAAGCGTGCAGACTCATGGCGGCGGATGATCTCAGCCACGGGGGGTTGGAGGATCTGATGGGCCTGCGCGACAAGTGCAAGTGGGCTGGAAAACTGTCCTGGGACCATCTGCTGCGCACGAAGACTGTTCGCCCGGTCTCTGCCATCAATCGCGAGCCGCTTATTTCTCGAGGAATTGGGCAAAGATTGGCCAGCCATTGCCCTGACCTAAACCCCAAAACCCCAAAACCCTAAACCCGATACCCTAAACCCGAAGCCCTAAGCCCTAAACACTTAACCCTAAGCCCTAAACCCCTAAACCCCAAACCCTATATACCCTAAACCCCTAAACCCTAAACCCAAAGCCCAAGCCCTAAACACTTAACCCTAAGCCCTTAACCTCTAAACCCCTAAACCCTAAACACCCAAACCCCCAAACCCTATAAACCCTGAACCCTATAAACCCTGAACCCTATAAACCCTGAACCCTAAACCCTATAAGCCCTAACCCTAAGCCCCGGGTGGAACCCCCCCTAGCCTGGCAGGCGCCAGCACGTGGTGGG